TCATCTTACTTAATCGATTCATTATCGATTAAGAATAATACTACAAGTCCAGCAGAACTAGCAGGCATTGCCATCAAGGAGCAAGCAAGATTTGTGAAACTTTCATCTATTGCATAGTTTTTAAAACAGGACCAATATGTAGCAGTTGGGGTAGTTGTCAAAACTTGACTGGAAAAATAAGTTTCAGGAAATGGGGCCGATTTGTTTTGCAAAGCTATGACATAAGGTACAAAATCTGGGTTAATATTGACGAGTAAAATTCTATTAATTTGGATTGTTGCCATGCAAATTATGTCTATTTGAAAATAACTCTATTCAGTTATGTTAAGAGTTAAATGATAATAATTACTGAATTTCAGAGTTTAATATAATAAATTAAAATATTTATATTTAATATTTATATTTATTAATACATTACTTTATTCTTTATTTGATATACAGTGGGTGATCGGTTAACGAACAGATCGTTTAACGAAAGATTTTTGTGTTCGGATAACGAACACTTTCAGGAAGAAAAAAAATTTCGGAAAATGAACAAAACGAATTCTAACGAACACTTCTCGACTTTAAAAAAAATTTATATGAAACATTTATTATCATTTTGCATACAAAATAAGATCACTGAAAGGAGAAATGTTTAAAGCATGCTTAGTATTGATAATTACTAAATGAAACTTGAATTATAGAGAATGAAGGAGCAACGAAAATCACATCTGCGAAGCAAAGAAGTGCCATCCATGATAAAATGGAAAGGTTGCTTTTAGTTTGGATAAATGAACGGGAAATGAAACGAGATGTAACTAGTATGCCTATCATTCAAGAGAAGGCTAGAGAAATTTTTGAGAAATTGAAAGAACAAACTCCAGGTTCGTCATCCGAGGAGTTAGAATTCAAGGCTACCACTGGCTGGTTTACAAAGTTTAAAAGAAGGTCTGGAATTAAACATGTATTAATGCATGGTGAGTCTGCTAGTGCAGATAAAGAAGCAGCTGAGAAGTACTGTCTCAAATTTCAAGAATTCATTGAAACAAAAGGGTATCGTCCACAACAAATATTTAATTGTGATGAAACTGGTTTGTTTTGGAAGCGCATGCCGAACCGTACCTACATCACGAAAGATGAGAAAAGTGTTCCTGGGCATAAACCTATGAAAGACCAATTGACGTTACTTTTGGGAGCTAACGCTAGTGGTGATATGAAGTTAAACCACTTCTCGTTTAGCACTCTGAGAATCCCAGAGCATTCAAAAAAATTCCATAACTAAGAGCAAACTGACAGTAATGTGGGGATCGAATCAGAGGGCATGGGTCACACAGTATCTTTTCAAGGAATGGCTAGTTTGTGCCCCTAGCATCAGGGACTACCTTGATACCAATGACTTGCCGTTGAAAGCACTGCTGCTATTGGACAATGCACCAGGACATCCAAAGGATCTTGAAGATAATTTGTTGACAGACTTTCCCTGGCTGACAGTTCAGTTTTTACCTCCGAATACGACTTCGCTGATTCAGCCGATGGATCAGGAGGTTATTGCGGCTTTCAAGAAATTGTACACTCGTGCGCTGTTTCGTCGGTGTTTTGAAGCAAGCCAATTCTCCTCAACGATGACTTTAAAAAAGTTTCGGAAAGAAAAATTTGACATTCTGGAACCTATTCGTATCATTCAAAAGGCGCGGTCAGAAATCACACAGCGACAGTTGATTCCTGCTTGGCGGAAGCTGTGTCCATCCTTCGTTCAAGGAGACGGAGGTGATCAGGGGGACACCTGAAATTTTGACAACTGCTAGAGATCTGGAATTGGAGTTGAATGGCATAGTAGATGACATAGAAGAACTCATAATGGGGACATGAAGATGAACTGACGACAGAAGAACTCCAAGAAATTTTGAATGAAGAACACTAAGAAACACAGCGAAATGTCTGAACAAGAGGAAGACGAAAGAGGACCAATGCCGACATCTACCATTAAAGATCTTTTGAAAGAGAGGGAGGATTTCAGAGCAATGGTCTTAGAACGGCACCCAAACTAAGCTGATGTCAGTAGGTTGAGAAAGAGAGAAAAGCAATCGACATTGGACATGTTCTTCAACGCCCCATAAGCATAAAATGAAAAGGACTGATTAATATGCAAGACTGCATGTATATGCATGTATTATTTTTTAAGAAACTTACTAAGAAATTATAAATTTTTTAAAATTTAATTTTTTGGATCTCCAAAACGAATTAATCGATTTCACGTAGAAGTCTATGGTGAATCGATGATCGGTTAACGAACAATTCGGATAGCGAACATAATCTTGGAACGGATTATGTTCGTTAACCGATCACCCACTGTACTGCACTCTTTATATTTCATGTAAACAAAATAATGTATATTTACAAACAATGAATTAAAATGGAGTTACATTTTTCAGTGTACTGAAACAAAATGTCATTAAGCAATTACTAGAACTAATATAGACGTTGTTTTAGTTTCTGCCAGTTTTTACCGGTTATAACCAGTGCCTGTCGACTCAGGTCGTACAGGCCGTATCTGCGAAAAACATCGATAGAAATTTCACTTATCGTTGTTCAGACCGCTTTTCCATTTTTTATTCATTGCCAACAATAAAGTATGAAACATCACTAGATTTACTCAATTACAATGAAGTATTTCATAAAAATTTGGTTATGATTCACTGTTCAAATGCATAATTTAAGTTTGAAATGCATTAAAAGTTATTCATAGTTAAAAGAAATAAATATCTTTATAAATGCGGAACTGTGAGCACAACATCGATTCTCATTAGGTATCACGTGTGAAAATACATTAAAAAAAAATTTATATCTTTAAAAACAAAATCTATACTATATCTATATCAGAAAACGGTTAATATGGATCACTCTTTTTTATATATATCTATACACTTATTATAAAAAGAAAGAATTTAAAGTGATGCTTACAGTAATTTCCGGTAAATAGGCCGCACTTGCAAAAAACATTGCTAAAAATTTAAACTTTCATCTTATAGGCCGCACCGTCATAAAGGCCGCACTTTCGTTTTTTCGATTGATCGTAGATTTTTATCAAATATCACATGCGTGAAAATACACGTAAAAAATAGTAATCTTTAAAACATAAATTCTATACTTGGAAAACAGTTATTCATAAATCTTTTTTTTTATGTATACTCATTTTTATATATACTTATCACAAAAAGAAAGAATTGAGAATGATACTTACTTACAGAAGAAACATGTATAACCAATTAAAATCATAAGTTGAGGATGTGTGTACGATAAAAAATAAACTTATCACAAAATAAATCAGCATTTCTTTATTTATACTTTTCAAATATTTTTGAGCATATATTTATTCAAAACCATCGAAATCTGATTCTTCACTGTCTGAACCAAACAAACGTTGTAATTCATGATCTAGTTCATTTTCTATATCACCTTCTTCATCCGACATTAAGGAAGTAACATTTTTTAAGCAAAAATCCAGTCCTGCATCCTTAAAACCGGACGTTTTAGTGGTTTCGTCAGCCCTTTCCCAGGCGTTAGACACCCACCCGGCAATTTCTTCTTAAGATGCACGGTGCATTTTCCACTTTTAGTAAAAGTATGCAATCCATTGCTCATCCATTTTCCCCACTGACTATGAATTTCTACCTTAAATTAATGATTAACCTCTAAATCAAGGGGTTGTAATTTTTTCGTCAAGCCAGCAGGAATTATGGTGAGTGATGCGTTTACTTTTCACAGATTCGAGACGGTGGGAAGTCATTGAATCCATTAGAAGCAAACCTTTGCTTCGAAAAAAAGTCCCAGGTCGTCTTCTCCACACCAGATTGAGCCAATCTACCATAATTTCACACATCCAACCTTTTTCATTTGCTTTCACAATTATGTTGGGGGGGGGGAATTGCCTTTTGGTATTGTTTTGCTCTTAAAAATAATCATCAGACTTAGTTTTTCCCCATCTGCTGTACAGGCTAATACGCAAGTAAACAATGTTTTTTCATTCCCAGTAGTCATTATTGGAACACTCTTTGTTCCCGTTTTGTCAACAGTTCTGCTAGCAGAACAATCAAATGTCAAAGGTGTTTCATCCAAGTTTATAATTTGAGAGGGAGAAAATTTTTCCACATCAATGAGGTGTTTTACAAATTTCAAGAAGTCATTTTTTTTCTCCTCCCAATTTTCTGGAAGTTTTTGTCCAGCTGTGGTGTTTGTTCTGACAGATATCTTTTTTCTCTTCATAAAACGATAGCACCAGCTTGGGCCACCTTTAAAACCCTGAATGTCCAGCTGGTTCGCATTTAATTTTGCTTGCAAACGAATTTTGATTGTAGACACTGGAAATCCTTTCTCTCGCTGTTCTTCAATCCCTTTCGCTAAATCATTTTCCAATTGAGGAAATTTTACTACTCCAGACCTTCTTGCACGATTTTGCTGGGGTAACTTCGCAATTATATCTTTATTGGCTAGCCATCTGCAAACACATTTTTCATCGACTTCAAAATCTCGTGCAGCAGCTCTGTTACCGATTTGTTCCGCTCTAGCAACAACTTTTAATTTAAAAGCTGAAGTGTAGCTTTTACGATGTTTTGAAGACTATAGTATTAGCTATCGTTCGTTCTTTTCAAAAGTTAACTTCAACAAGAAATGCAAATTCCTAAGTGTGAGTTTTATGCACATTGTTCTTTTATCCAATTAGCTAAATCCTTTCCCAATTGTGGAAATTTAACTACTCCAGATCTTCTAGCACAATTTTGTTAAGGTAACATTGAAATAATTTGAATAAAATCTGAAACTCAAAAAGCAGAAGAATGCAAAGATTGAACTCGTAGTAACCTGTGGCCACCACACTAGAATGCGCCTTTGACTAGCAAAAATCAGTTATTTATTATGTTTTGTTACACTAAAAGTTTCTGTTTATTTCAACTTTTAGTATGATGGTTACAAACTGTTATAAAAATATAAGTCGTCATTATTTATTGTTCAACTTATTTTAGAGTTTCCAAGATGGTGCTAGAATTGAAGCTGCATTTAGAAAATATTTCCATCGTGCCGATCCAGGCCAGAAATCTGACAGTTATGAAATAATAGTCTGCCATGCTAATGTTATAAGGTATTTTGTTTGTAGGTAAGAACATTTATGTATATATTTTTTAATTACTACTACACAATTATCATTGATAAGAAATTTTTATGACTGTTACAATTTTAAAGTTGTTTTAAAACTTTAAAAACCCTTAAAACTGGTTGTAGTAATATTTTTGAACTTCATTGGATGGATGTTGACATTTAAGTTGTTTTATATGAATAATAATAATAATTACAATTTCAAGGCTTTTTTAAAGGAGAGACTTGTTTCTCTATGTTAAAATGCCTTCAGATCCCTCTTTTTTTTTTTTTTCATTTTTGGTTGTAGTCTTCATAATACAATCAATGGCAACTATGACAAAAAAAATTCAGATAATAGGCATCCCTGTCTTATTCCTGCTTGAATGTCAAAGGAGTAGTCTGTAAGATTTCCATCTACCTCAATGTGTACTTAGTTCCATCATAAAGGCCCTCAAATGATATTAATAAATTTTTCTGGAATTTTATAGAGCGATTGAATCAAAAGCCTTTCGGAAGTCAATAAAATTTAGCTATCAAGCTGAATTCCTTTCTAAGCTTTTATCTGTTATATTCCTTTTCAATTATATTCCAAAATACAAAATTTTGCTATGTTTTGTTTCCAGAACAAAAACCAGCTTGTTCTACTTGTAAATGTACTTCGATTTCAGATTTTTAGACTTTACAAAATATCCTTTCAAGTATCGAGTGGAGAGTTAGGCCTCTCCATTTCTCTCATCTTGTGAGGTTTTTCTTTTTTGGTAATTCAACAAAGATTGCCTCTTTCGATTGATTTAGTACTTTTTCATACTTCCAGAGGATATTTACGAGCTTTTCTATGCATATGGAGCTGGTTTCAAGGTTAGTTTTCAGAAGTTAAGGAGCAATGCAATCGTTTCCTGCAGCTTTCTTCAGTTTTGTTGGCCTCAGGGTTTTCTTACTCTTTGCCAGCATTGGTTACTGGGAAGAGGAAACCCTTCATTCAACTCTCCTCCTTTATTTGGGTTTAGGACCTGCAGGATCCGAAGATCCATACAAGGGCGGAGTTACAGTAGGATGTAGAAGTGATAAAAATCTTTCAATATATGGAGTTAAATAAGTTATTAGAATAAAATATACAAACTTAATATCTAGAGCTGGTTTGTTAATAATTTAATGCAATTAATTTGATTTTTGATTAAGAAAAACTTTATAAATGTTTAATCAAAATTAAATTAATATTAAAACTATATTATAACAATATTTTAGAAGCCTAACTACCTAAAACAATTTTTCATAATACATAGCAACCATTATGAAACAAATGCATGATTGAAATTTAAAGACTAGATGAAATAGATAATTTAAAGAATACTTTAACTATTAAAACCATAATTCATTCGCATCCGTTTCAATTCGCAAACCATAATTTTCATTTAAAATTGTGATTTCTTTTTTTTCTTTTGAATTTTAAAATGACAAAATAAATATATTGTGTTTGTAGGTGTAGTCATTCATCAAAAAATAAATAAATATTTAATCTACATATATTTATATTAAAATATTCATTTTTAATCCCATATCAAAATAGATAAGTTACGCTAAAAAAAATTATAAAAAAAAATCTATGTACTTATTGGAATTTTTTTCCACAAAATTTCTTTATTGAAAATCTGATAATGTCAAAGGTACTATAAAAGTATTGTAGGCCTAGAAGTGACTGTGAGCAAAAATATAATAGGAAATATAGGAAGTCATTTAAGAAATTATAGGAATTTTATATAAGTATTTTGAAAATAGTATAAGAATCCCTAATATTTTGTTTAAAAAATATAGGTTCTAAATTTGCATTGAACATTTTTTATATATGTGTTATTCAAGAACATTTCTACAAAACCTTATCTTGGCTTTAAAACTTAATGATTTATTAGATAATCTAACTGAGGAAAAAAGTATACTGATTATAGCTAAATTGTTTGACAGGTTGGAATATATTCCTTAATATATTTGAGTAAACAGTAGACTTGTATCAGAATATAGTGTTATACATTTTAAAATAATAATTATATAGATAATTAACAAAGTAATTAGATTTTTAAAAATTTTTGAGAACCAGCAAAATATTTCAAATATTTCTAGAAAATCTGAATAAAAACAATTAAGTACACAACATCAGAGTTAAGAAAAAAAGTAATAATGTTGGTAATATTATATGAATATTTTTCTCCTCATCTTTGCAACACGTGAGCTAATGAATACAGCGAATCGAATTAAAATTTCGAATTGAGTATATACAAATATGAATATAATGCACTAGAATATACTAAGAGGGAATAACTCAGTTAGAATCAATACATATGCGTATTATTGTTATTTATTAGCTTCTGCAAGCTTTTCAGTTAATATTTTAACCTGATTAGTTGTGAATTCTATGAATGCAGAAGCAATTCTCATTTCATTAAAGTTTTTAGTTTTCAGTGCTTTTTGTTGGCGAGCATTACCCTCCTGCAGTAAATTCTGGGAAAGACTCCATTCATCTTTTAAGGATTTCACAATTATGCAACTTTTCTTTTGCATCTTTTGTTTTTTCCGCAATTGTTCCGATTCTGATAGTAATCGTTTTTTTGTGTCTATCTTAACTTGAACAGCTTCTTTCTCTTCTTTATATGCTGAATGTGCATATAAAGAATATTGCTTTTGTTACAGAGTTTAATAATGAGAAAGTTATAGGAATGTTTAAAATGTTGTTTTCATGCCTCCAAACTGCATCTTAGGCCAATAATTACTTTTTCAGACAAACTAGATCTTTTTTTGGTGATAAAATTGCATTGTTGACTAAGAATCCTCTCTCAACATCTGCAGTGCCATGTGAAAGAGAGAGGCAGGATCTTACCAACAAAGATACGTTTTTGTACACCAGTGTATTTGTCAGTTAGTTTGAGCATTTTGGCCCAATAACTGTCCACTCTTTCATACTTAACAGCAGAATTTTAAGAGTGAGTGAGAGAAGTGAACTGATCACAAAGTTTGTCGATGTCTCTTCCAAATGATAAGTTTGCCATTCTCTGACACTTGTGTCAACTTCCTTATCTGTAAGATGAAGAGGTTTCGTTTTTTTGCACAATCTCGTTACAGCACTGTCAGTGTAGTCTTTCCTCATGATAGGGTGCAACTCTTCCGCATCCTTTAAGAAATGCAATTAGTAGAAAAGTTTTAGAAGCAATGATTAAAAACATCAGAAGTTTTAGGAGTCATTTCAGGAGTGTAATGCGGAAAAGAAAAAAAAACTTACATTTGCTATACATGCTGGTTTTATAAATCTAGACAAAATATTGCTTAATAATAAGTTCTCTAATATCTATGAATTAATGGAGCTTGCTGCAACATCATTGTATTACATGAATTGAATTGATATTGTGAATGCGATAAAAACTTTTATAAGCAGTTATAAATACCAATGTCACATAAAAACGCAAAAATGTTAGGATGATGAATGTCAACCAACAAATCCTGTAGGCATAAAATGGTACTCCCAAAAAAGGTAAAACGTTGTGGGTTAAAACATGGACAAATTATTAAAATGTGATGAATGGTTAGAGGAATGTTACATGTATTGCATTGAGGAGGAGGCTCTCCAAATAGTAAATGAAGATGTGTTAGCCGAGTGTGAACGATTCGCAGTCGAGTAAGCTTAACATCTGCACTACGCAGGCGCAGCACAGGCAAATGGTCCAAATTGGTTTAAACATTATGTAGCTTATTGAGAGTTTGGTTATCCCACCTTTGCTGTCATAAAGATGTTATAATTAGCTTAACATCCATGAAAGGCACAGATAATGGCAAGAGATTAGTGGCAGACCATGCACAAGAATCAGCCAGGTCGTTTCCTGGTATGCCAACGTGACTTGGCACCCAACAAAACATTTCATAAAACCCATTTCTCTGATCAGCAGGTGAATAATAAAATCTAAAATTTGATGACATGATTCAAACAATGGAATAATAGACTGTAAAAAGCAAAGGTAGAGTTGAGTTGATTTATCTTCAAAAATATTCTTCAATTGTATGAAAGTTTCTGAAGAGCCATGATCTTCCTCACAAAAAAAATTTCTTTAAGGCATCCCACTTCTCTAAAATACGATTGCCCATTGGTGACTGCCCCTAAAATACCTAAAAGCCCATTGCTAGCCACCTCGTAGCCCCATATTTGAGAACCTTGCTGTTTTCGAGGTTACACAGTTCTTCGCAGAACTTTAAAAGCTGAATTCTCTTTGCGCTTTTCTTTAAATAGTAGTACACATCTGTCAAAACAATTTTTTTCTGGGAACATGCGTTTAAATAACGGACCTCCGTGGTCAGCAACTGATTAAGGTAGATTGTGCTCAATTAAAAAATTCACAAAGAGAGTTTCCGCTTTTATAACATATAATTTATGCTTTTTACTGGAGGAGAGAGAACTGGCGTGAAAGAGGTGCGGAATACGATTATGTGACGTCATCGGAGGGAAAATAAAAATTAGCTATCAGGTTTATTTTCCGGAAATCCTCCAGAAATTACGGGGTAATTACCAAGTATGCAAATGGGGAGATTTTCTCGTATAAATTTTGTCAATATTACAAGGAATTTTTTAAATTCAAATCTGAGACGCTTATGGTCTGGTTCCTTAAGCTTAAAACTGTCCCTTTGGCAGGTACTCTTACGTTAATGTCTTGAAGTTTCAAGTTTGCCGCATCATCAATGCTAATGTCGTATAAAGGCAAGCCTTCTTTCGTAGCAACCAAGCTTTCTTTCACAAATTTGATCATAATATTTTGTAACAATTCATTGGTTCTGTTGTATAAAAGATGCATCAGAGATCCTTCTGTTTAAAAAAGTGCTAAATAGGAATCCAAAATTGGAATCATATCAGAAACAAATTCAATAACCGCTAATTATGCAGAATCTTTTAACTCCTTGAATTACTCTGAATCACCAGCTAATGCTTTTTCCCATTAGAATGTTGCAGTAGTTGGGAAATTCGACTATTCGAAAATTGCACACAACTGTTACACAGATTACTGTATACCCAGCTTTACCTTCTTGACTCCAATTACTTAGTAAAGCTCCATTTTTATCGAGAACTTCAAGCCATGAGAGCTGAAATTTAGTTTTTCCAGTAGACATTTTTCTGAAGGAAAAGTACAGAAAATTAATAGTTAATACAGACATATCAAAAAGTTTTAAATAGCAAAATCTGTTTAAACTGATTTCGATATAATTAGGAAATTCATTTACTAACTAAAAGGTGACTTTTTTTAAACCAGTTACAATAACCTTAGGTAATAACTTAATGAAATTTATTTTTTAGAGCCCTCTACCCTATTTTTTGAAACTTAAAGTAAAATATAATATATTACTTAAAGTAAACTTAAGTAAAATACTGACTTACAGTAAAATATAATATATTATTTCGCTTTCAGTATTTAAAATCAAGTAACAAAAATATATAAATTTGAGGGGAAAAAAACTTTTAAGAATCTTTTTTTTCCCTTGTAAATTTTGTTAGAAAAGTAAAAAGTGCTCTGTTAGGCTTATATAATTAAATAATTATTAAAATTTTGTTTTGTTTTCAGATTGCTTCAGGTTCCACCAGAGGCATGGTTACGGTTTTCTTTGCATCATTGTAGCATTACGTGGACAACTATCTTTCCTAATGGCAATGTTGCAGTTAAATCTTATGGTGATGCAGGTTTCTTGCCTGCAGATAAAATGACTCGGAGTTGATAAAAGTTATAAAATATATTTTGTTAAAATGCAAATTTTTAAACATTTTGTGTACAATTTCAATAAAATTGTGCTTAAGCTTTAGTGTTAAAACATAATAATTATGAGAAAAGTAATTATTACTTAAATATACATTATGCTATATGATGCTTAATTGTTATAAATTGTGTACTATCAATAAATATATTTTATTTTAAGCCTTTAGTTTTGCTGAACTAGCTGATAAAAATGTTTAATTGTCACAAAATTATTCTGAAATAGAATAATTTCATTTTTTTTTTTAAAATTAGGGGCGATAGTGACTTAGTAACAAAATCCCTGAAAGTGAAGGATGAAATATAAAGAAACCCTGAAAGTCACTATAGTGTAAACCCTGTTGTATTTAAAATTGGTACGATTTCAAATGAAAATAACATGTAAAAGAAACATATAAAAACATAAATCTGATTATATACCTATACTCTTGACTGGTACAAATATAAATCCAAAGAGCTTGAAATTGTTTTAACTATAAATGTTGAAATATCAGTCACGTAAAGGCTATTTATTAATTCTGTGTTAGAACACACATAAAAAAAGGTCAATGAAATGAACCTGTTTATAAATGCTCATAGCTTATTTTAATTCATCTGTATAAATATTTTCAACAAACAAAAAAGCTAAATAAATATATCCATATCCTATTATTATTATTTCCTACTTTTGTTTGCTTTATTTTATTTTTATTGTCCTGTGGCATTTTTCTCCTCCGCTGGTTACCCTCGTTGTCCAGAATATTTTCTGCCACTAGAGATGACTCCTGCGCTTCTGAATGGCTGGTTGAGGGACCAGGAGTAGCACTCTTGGATCTAAGTACTTGATTGTAGCTTCTCCAGCTACTCAATAAATTTCGTCCAAAATTACCTTGCATAGGTTCATGAACTGGATCTTTAGTTCTTTAGTTAGTATCCTTTCGGTTCTTGTTTGAAAGAACGGGTCAGCCTGGAGATCGCAGAACTCTAATTGTAGGTTGGCCGGTTGTTCTTCAATGCTTGCGGTGACTGGATTACTAAACAGAACTACGTCATTCTTGATGCTCTGAAAATCTCGTGTTGAATTCATCAATAATTGTCTGCAATTCAGGGCAAAATTCAGAAAAATCCAGCTTACACTGACGCTAAACGACTGCAGCTGGCAAAGTGAGATAAGTTATTTTTCCCGTACTTGCATGGAAAATTTTCAGCTTGTTTCTAAACCCATTGCACCGACTGCGAACGATTCAAACATTTGAGGAACAAACTTTTTGGCAGCTTTTATCCTAATCTTCAATCTTTACTTGGTGACCCTATACATCACAACCTTTTAAAGTTTATCAAAACTATTGGATTATATTCTCTGCTTTAAAATAATACAGTAGTCTGACCTAGAGACCGACTTTTAACCTAGTGCCTGGCGCAGTATAGCCATTTCTGGCTCTTGTGCCAATAAAATCCAACTAACCAACTAAACCCATTGCTGTGTGCCATTAGGTCAGACACCAGTTGGCCTCTTTCTTGTAGTTTTAAGTTTACATGGTTAAGGTGGCCAGTAATATCAGTTAGAAATGCTAGGTGACGTGAAAAATCCATGCTTAAAAGTTTTTCTTCAAGGTTTTCTGATGGAAAAAAGTGGTGAAGGAAAAGAGAGGAGTTTCTGGCACTAAACCACCTAACTTGATTGTACGTAAGCAGGTCTCCGTATTCTGCTTCAATTTCCTCCAAAAAGTTGCGGAACTGCCGCCGATGCATAAGAGCCCTGTTGCCGCCTCTGATCATGTCGATGACTTTCAAAACTTTTTTGAGGGTTTCAGTTTGCTTCACCGATTTCCCGCATAAAGCATGCTGGTGAATGTTGCAATAAAATGAATGAATGATGAAAATGGAATGAAGTGCAGGGCATTTCATTCCATTTTCTCTCAAACATCCAATCAATCCTATCTTTGTTCCTACCATTGTCTTTGCACCGTCTGTAGCTAGGACGGAACACTTTTCAAAACCTCCGACACTGTTGACCGCTTTCATCACTGCTTCAAATATGTCCCTACCCTTTGTTGTGGAGTGAAGAGAACACATGGTAAGGAGCTCCTCTTTGATTTCAATCTTCTTTAGCAGTGCCAATGAAAATCAAGAGTTGACTAACGTCCGACAGATCTGTACTCTCGTCGATATAGCAGCATTTTTCAATCTCGCAGGTCAATTTCTGTTGTATTTGGTCACCCATTTCGGCAACTCTTCGTTGGACGGTCTGATGAGAAGCTGGAACTGAGTCAAAATGCTTAGCCATTTTGCTATCACCAAACGCTTTTGCCATTTCTACAGCACACTTTTTAACAACGACGCCATCAGTGTAAGGTTTTTTCGCTTTAGCAAGCTTAAGTGAAATTGCATGCAAAGCATTGTATTGATCAGATTTTACTTGAGTAAACATCCCAGTTTGTTTTTATAGTTTTGATTTCAGTTCTGAAACTATCAGAGATCTTGCTTCTCCTTCGTATTTACTGTGGTTCCCTTCGCGAAGATTCGCTTAATGCCTTTTGACATTATATTCTTTGCACACAGCTAGCATACAAATCAAGCACTGGAGTTTGTCCTTTCTATTCGTGATTAAATACTGGGTTTCCCAGCCGTCCTGGAACAATTCAGTTCTCATAGTCACCAATATTCTGAGTATATGCCTATTTTTACTGACGGTTCAAAATCTCTTGGATATGTAGGCTGTGGTGTCATAATCGTTGATGACACGTATAGCTACAGGATCCCAGATATTTGTTCTGTTTTCACTGCTGAAGCAGTTGCCATCCTTTTGGCATTGCGGCTGATTTCATCACGCTCTGAACGAAAATATTTTATATACTCTGATAGTATGAACGTATTGAAGCAGTTAGAAAAGTTTCGCAGTAATACTCATCCAATTTTATGCTCCATCAATCATTTATTAATCACCCTTCATAAGAAAGGATTTGACATTTTATTTTGTTGGATACCAAGTCACGTCGGTATAACAGGAAATGAGTTGGCTGACTCTGCCTTAACAATTTCTGTACCATACTCGATATTAAATTACATATTCGGCAGATTATCGTATCTCTTTGGCAATAACATTGGGATCTTCAAACTCAAAATAAACTATATAATATAAAATCTGATCTCAATCATATACCAGTATTGCGTCGACGTATTGCAGATGTAAAGCTTACTCGTCTCAGAATCGGCCACACTCGATTCACCCATCTTCACCTATTATTTGGAGAACCTCCAAATGCGACACTTGTAACGTTTTACTTACACTTCATCCCGTTTTAACTATTTGTCCCTGTTTTAACCAACATCGTATTACCTTTTTTAATAGCACTATTTTATGTATGAAGGATTTGTTAGGTGAAATTCATCATCCTAACATTTTCGCATTTCTGCGAGCTATTGGTATTTTATATTGTATATAGAAGGTTTTATCTGATTTTATTCACTCCTATTTATCCATTCACCGTTTTACCTTATATAAATACACCTTTTATTGGATTTTAGTGACTTTTAAATAAATTCGTCTCCTTAGTCGTTTTATTACCTTTATGTATTTTATAGAAATAAAAATGTGCTAAGCATTTTACGTTTTAAGCTGCATTAACGAACTGTTTGGCGCAGCATATCCTCTTTTGGATCTTGTGCCATTAAACTCTACAATCAATCAATCAACCGTCCTGGAACACTCGCTTCTCACTGGCTATCTTCCGTTTCTTACTCATCGTTACAATCATCGAATATTCACAATCAACAATAAAATTAGTTTTCACACGTTCCCCAAAAAATATAGCTACGGTACAAGAGAGGTTAACTTCATATCCAAAATCTGCAAGCTTATCTGAGAACCTAACATTCATCACAACCAGTCAGATCAAGATCATCAATGGAAGGGAGCGGAGAGTTGACGAGTGTAAGCTCTCAATTTCTTTTTCAAAATCAACAAAGGCCGCATCGGTCTTTATTTTTAACCAATTGCGGGTAGGTTTTGCTTATCTGAAATGTTTCTCTCTTCCCTCCTTGTCTCCCCGCCTGGTATTGCCAACGCGAGGCACTACTATTTCTATACAACGTTTCCACGTTGTTCACCTTAAGTTGGCACTGCAGGGCAGGGAAGGGAATGTAATACTCCGCCTTTGAAAAGTAGTTCTTCGCTATTTTTGAATTAATTGCGGAATTAATTAGAAGTTTTTCATGTTTAAATGTATTTAACTTATAAATAACTTCTCAGTGAAGCGAATGTACAAAGAAGGTGTTTCAGTTTGGAGCTGAATTTAGTTCAAGGCAAGGAAATTGCTGCTTTGGCTATGTTTTTACACTGATCAGCCAACTCTTTCCATTATCCTTGCCTTTGCTTAAGTGTCCTATCTCTTGCGTAGTTCTTATTTGTTCTTTTGTTTTGTTAGTTATTAATTGTTAATCAATTGTTTTTACAATGTTAATCTACAATTTGTTGTTTTTTACTAGTTATTTATTGTTAGCTCGTTTCTTATAGTTATAAATTTTTTTTTTGCATTGCTAATTTTTTGTTGTTAGATTTTTTTCTTTTTTTGTTGCTAATTACTAAATGTTAGCATGTTTTTTTGTTATATTATTTTGTTACTTATTAATCGATAGCTTTTTTTCTTTTGTAAGTTATTAATCTTTAGCTTGCTTAAATATATTTCAGCGAGCAAATATATTTCAGAAAAAAATTACTTTTATAGTAAAAAAAAACTATAAATAAAAAATTCACATTTTTTTAGTAAAAAAAAAAAGAACAGTAAATATTAAAAAAACATAGGTATGATACTTTTTAATGATCAATGATTTTCTGCCTATGTTGACTTTCCTCCCCTCACAATACACCAAAGTGGGATAAATTAATGTAAATTAATCTACAAAAAAAAAGTTGCATATAAATATATAAAACAAAGTATTTATGAGCATCTTTGCATTTTTTTTTTACTTAGATTTAAGCAAAAAAAAAATATTAAATACGATTTTTTTTTGTTATCATACCACAGACAACATATATTAAAATTCAATTAAATTTTCAATTCCTCGGAATCATTAAATAGATTCAGATCTGTTAGAGACCAATGTCCGTGTGCAAGAGTAGTAATGCCATCATTGTTAATAAAACGTTTATCATCATGAAATGATAAGGCAAGTTTGTTAAGTTTTATTG